TTAATAATAGGAGTGGTTGTTTTTACCTAATATATTAGTTATCTGTTGCTGTACAACTTAGTGGCGTAAAACAACAGACGTTTATTATAGTTTCTGTGGGTCAGGAATTTGGGGGTGGAAGAGCCCTGGTGACACAGTGGTTAAGAGTTCGGCTGCTATAACAAAAAGGTCGGCAGCTTGAATCCACCAGCGGCTCCTTGGAAACCCTATGAGGCAGTTCTCCTCTGTCCTATAGAGTCTCTATGAGTTGGAATTGACTTGACAGCAATGGGTTTGGATTTTTTTTTTTTTTCCTAAGTGGTCTGGCTCTGGGTCTCTCATGAGGTTACAGCCAAACTGGAATGCATCATCTGAAGGCTTGCCTGAGGCTGGAGAACCTACTTCCGAGATGGCTTCCTCACATGGCCGTTGGCAGGAGGCTTTAGTTTTTGGTCACTTGGACCTCTCTACAGGGCTGCTTGAGTGTTCTCATGACATGGCAGCTGGTTTCCCTCAAAGTGAGTGATCGAAGAAAGAGAGCAAGGCAGAAACCACAATGGCTTTTCTGACCCAGCCTCTTCACAGACTACACCTGTGAAGTCATTTCTGCAAGGTAACAGGTCAGCCCTATTCACTGTGGCAGGGGACTACACAAGGAAGTGAATACCAGGAAGCATGAATCCTTGGGGACCGTCTTGGGGGTGGCTACCTGTAAAAACAACACGGGGACAGCATCTGACCTCTGACTTCACAAGGGGAAACGAGAATCAAAACCAACAGCCCAAGGCTGATTCCCATAGGTGGTGGTCAGACATACTCCTCTCTCTGCCATCTTTACCAACTCTGGCAACAACCGTCCCTCCCACAGCCCTCTCTACTTCTCTGCTGGGTTTAATAATTCATTGCAATGGCCACACAGAACTCGCAGATCATACTGACCATTATGGGGTTTATTAGGCAAGTAACAGGTTACAATTCAGGCTCAGGAATACTCGGGATATAGTTCTTCCATCAGGACAGCCTCTTCCCAGCCGTGCTCACAGGCATGCATCTCCCTGGCCCTCAATGTTTTGCACTCAGCTTTCTTGCTCCGTGGGCCACGAAGCTCACTGTGCTGTCTCCTGTGGGTCTCTCCTGCTGGTTTCTTCTTCCTTTGTGGTGGTGGGTTCTTCTTTTTCCCACCTCTTGGGTGGCTCATTTCAAACCCAGTGGGATGGCAAAACTGACCAACCCTTTGGTGGGCCACAATTATCCTATCACACAGTCCTGCCCATTCACCTGAGTGGGAGTTACAGTACCATGGCTAGAAGGGCCATATTAAGTAATTCATTGCACCACACTACCACACCCAGTTAGCAACTGGCAAACTAAAACTTAAATCCAAGTTATTGTTCTTGTTGGGTGCTGTTGAATTGATTCTGACTCATAGAGACCTCATGTGACAAGAGTAGAACTACCCTATAGGGTTTTCTTGGCTGTAATCTTTATGGAAGCAGATCGCTAGGTCTTCCTCCCGCAGAGCCGCTGGGTAGGTTTGAACCACCAGCCTTTCTGTTAACACTTGAGCACTTAACCATTGTGCCACCAGAGCCTGGTTCTTTAGGTATATCATCTAGGCATGTTGCTGTATCTCAGGCTCAGCCCCTAGTCCTCTTTTCAGTCTATACTCACACCCTAGACCATGATCTCATCCAGTCTGATGACTCCATTGTAGACCTCAACACCCATAAATCCAGCAAGCAACTCGACTTGAAGCTAATAGGCACTTCAAACTTAGATTGTCCAAAACAGGTCCTGACACCTGCCCCCAAACCTGCTCCTTCTCCAGGGTTTCCCATCTTAGTTATTGACAATGTCATTCCTCCAGTTACTTAGGCTAAAAACCTTAGCTTGACTCTTTCCCTCCAGTACCCAGTATCCAGTCATCTGTCACCAAATCCTATTGGCTCTACCTTCAAAATACCTCCAGAACTCGACATTTATCACCATCCAGGCTACTACCACCCTGATCCTTGGCATCGTTATCCCCCTCTTGCCTGCGTTTTTGCAGAGGTCTTCTCCCTGTTCTCACAGCTTCTGCCCTTGCCCCCACTGAAATCAGTTCTCAACACAGGATCTGAGTGGCTTTTTTAAGATCCAAGTTAGATTGTGCCACTCTCAGTGCTTCCATTGTACCAGAGTCAAAACTAGGGCCCTCACTACACCTCCGGGCCATCTGGCCCCCTGTAATGCTGACCTCATCTCCTAGGACTCTCCGCAGTGCTCAGCCATGGGGCCTCTGCTGCTCCTTAAACATACTAAGCTCTTCCCTCTGCCTAGAATGCTCTTCCAGATAGCTGTTCCCCTACTTCCTTCAGCTCTTTCTCAAGTAGCTCCTTCTCGGTAAGGCCTTCCCACGGCTGCTGTGCCTAAAATTTCAAACACCCCCAGCCCAGTTAGATTTCATTCTCCTGCCCTGCTTTAATTTTTCTCCTTTGTAGTTTTCACTGTCTAGCATACTGTATTTTTTTATTTAATTTTTTAAAATGTCTCTTTCATTAGGGTATGAGCTGGCGAGGAGAGGTGTTTGTCTGTTTTATCCACTGCTGTACTGAATGGCATATTGGATTTGCATATTCCTGAAACTATTTTTAATCTTTAAGAATGTAGGTGTTGCCTTCTCATGCAAATATGGTTGAAGTTAGCATACCAGAAACATTTGTAACTCATCAGTACAGTGTGTTATTTCTTGCCCAAGATTACTAGATCCGATTACAGGGGTGAAAAAAAAAAGAAAGTTTAGAAGTTTCTCTTATATGAAGTATTTCTTTTGTGAATTGATTGCAAGTTAGGCATGTAATTCAGGTGGGGAGTTAAGGTCTACGGCTCTGTAGAGAATTGTAACGAGAGCCATGAGGAGAAGCACAAAGTGAGCGCCTAAGTCCAATGCTTGTGTTGACTTATAGTAGAAATGTGAAAAGACCATGCATTAGGGGAGGTTTCTTAGAGGATTGCAGCATAGACGTTTTGACAGTGGAAAAAGCAGAACCACTCCTACTTTCATGTAAAGACACTGGCAAGTAAGTACACCAGGAATTGTGTTGTTATTGGGTGCCGTGAGTCAATTCCAACTCATAGTGACCCGATGTGACAGAATAGAACTGTTCTATAGAACTGTTTTCTTGGCTGTAATCTTTATGGAAGTAGATCACCGGACTTTATTCCACAGAGCCACTGGGTGGGTTTGAATTGCCAACCTTCAAGTTAGCAGCCAAGCACTGAACTGTTGCACCACTGGGGCTTCTTTCAGGAATTGTAGATATGGGCTATTTGGTGGCTCAGTAAGCCCCCATTTCCCACTATGTGCAAGTCACTGTGCCTGGTGCCTTCGGGTAGAGAGAGATGGACTGGCCCCTGCCCTCAAAGGCTCAGGAGGCAGAGAGATGCACAATGGTAAATATAAAAAAGTAGATGCAGTCACAGATTGCATGCTTTCCTGGGAGAGGGTGGAATAAAGCAGCGTCTGTCACGGAGGAACACAACAGGAAGGACATGGGGAGGAGATGACACTGAGTGGAGCATTGAAAGAGACGGTGGGACTAGTGGGACTTCAGTAGGCAGCAGATGGCCCCAGGAACAGCCTGTGCCTTGCAGGCTTCCCACACTTGAATCATCCGGGGATCTAGTCGAAAAGCAGGTTCTGATTCTGTAGGTCTAGGAAAGGAGGCAGAGAGTCTGCATTCCTAACTAGCTCCCTGGTGATGCTACTGTTGCTGGCTCTAGAGGACAAGTTTGGGACCACAGACCTGCCTGCTGTGCCTCGTTGACCTGAAAAGTGGGGGCTGGCGTGGAAGTGCCGGCACAGGCTTGACCCCTGGTGAGCTGTGACACGTGCTCGGTGAACAGTGCAGTGGAGACCAAGAGCCCAGGACTGATCTGGGTTTAGGTGCTCATGACCACCTGGCCTTTCCTCCAAAACCCAGCCTTTGGGCTTCCTTCTCCTGAAATCGACCTTAAAAGTAGACTTGGTAATTTCCATTGACATCTATTTGTCTTTAACATCTCAGATCTTTTGGGATATATTGCTAGAATGTCACGTTGGTCCTCCAGAAAGAAATCGATTCTGTTATTGGTAGATTTTAAAAAATGTTTTTATAAACAGCCAGTCCATCCATCTTCTTATGATCAAGTCCAGTAATATCCTTTTTAAAAGCATAGCTCCTGAATTAATTAGGTGGACCTCTTGTTTTTAAGGACTTCTAGTGGCGGGGGGGCCCTGGTGACACAGTGGTTAAGCACTCAGCTGCTAACTGAAAGGTCACCAGTTCAAATCCACCAAACGCTACCCTGGAGAACGATGTGGCAGTCTGGTTCCGTAAAGATTTACAGCCTTGGAAGCCCTATGGGGCAGTTCTACTCTTTCCTATAGGGTCGCTACCAATCGACTCAATGACAACAGGTTTCAGTTTTGTTTGTTATGGAGGGGAGGTGGTTATACCAATCATTCTTTTAAAGCCATCAGGGATCCCAGTTAACCTGAGTGACCTCAGCATGAACCACCAACAGAGTTGCAGATGGCGTTTTTATTCCTGGGAATAAAATGGCACAATTAGGTTTCTGCCCTCTCAATGTTTGGCGTAATTGTGGTAGAGACTATAAATTAGAAACATGCATAGGCAATGTCCACTTACTGTTGGCAGAGGAAGAACTAGAAACATCGCAGCAATGTTCCTTTCTGCTCCCTCACAAGAGACGGCAGTTTGTGCCCACTGGCCACACGGCGCTAGATGGATTTTACTGTACTTTGGTGGGGCTTAATTGTTTATATTAGGAATTTGATCTCTTCATCAAGGCCCCTACACCTGTTCTTACGTAAGGATTGAGTCAGGCCATGCTTCTGACAGTTACACTACTGTCCCCAGAGAAGAACTCTGTGGCTGTAAATTGTTGTTGTTGGGTTTCATTTAAACATGGTAGGGGTGTTTGTCCACAGTTGTGTACTAAATATACACGTACATGTATGTTTCCCATTTTCTTTCTAGATTTTGGCCCTGATGGCGTTCATCTGCATAGAGACCATCATGGAGTGCTCCCCGTGTGAAGGCCTCTACTTTTTTGAGTTTGTAAGCTGTAGTGCATTTGTGGTGACTGGGGTTTTGCTGATTCTGTTCAGTCTCAACCTTCACATGAGGATCCCCCAGATCAACTGGAACCTGACAGTGAGTACAAGTCTCCGCTCTCAGACTATGAAAGGGCTGAATACTACTTCGCTTCAAGGGAAATTTGAAATCTCTCCATGTCTTATTTGGTTCCAGTTCATTTTGATACTTAAATTTTCCATCATAACTCAGCTGTGAAACTCTAAATTTCCTTACTGGGTCGAATAAAACTACAAAACAAATGGAATCTTAACTAGTGATGAAACATCATAACAGAATCCTTTTTTCCCCTTTTAATGTTGTTTCAATTTTGTGATCATCCAAAGACTGGTAATGTTGATATTTGTAGAATATGGGAAAGAGAAAAACGGAATTGATACATTTGCATGCTTTTCAGACTGAACACAAAAGCCATTTACAAAAGCATTACTTCTGGAAGAAATGAACATGCCAATACTTTGCAAAGCCTGCACAGAAAGGCCCCTAGAAATGTTAAATTCAAAGCAACTGGGAGGATGCGGTAGTTTGATCACAAAGTCTTGTGGAAGTGTTTCCTCTTTGGTTTGGGTTCTTAACCTCTTTGACACCCTTGCCCTCTGGTCAGCATGGGAAGCTCAGGGCTGTTCACCCTCAGGCCCCTTTTCCTGGACTGCATTACTTGTCCTTACAGTGATGAATGAGGAAGGAAACTTCATATCACTTGGTGTTGTTAATATTTCTTTGCACACAAGCATGTACAAGAGCTCAGAAAATCAGTTAGGGAGACACATTCCACACAGTCAGCTGATTCTCTCTCCGGTGCTGTCGGGGGTAGACCCATGCAGGCACCACTGCTGCCGAGAGGGTGCAGGAGGAGACCCCTACAGACCACCTACGCTGAACAGGGCTCTTGAGCCACGTGAACAGCCCATCCTGGCTGTCTCTTTGGGTGGTGCTGGGTGCCTACAGGCACGGTGAGAAGGTATCCCCTCTGCTGTAGGAGCCACGGGAGGAGCTGGTGTCCATCACCTTGCCTGGCATGGCCTCTCCCATGGCGATCCCTCAGGGTATGAAGAGGGAAACGTCTTCCTGGCAGCACACTTTCTATGTTGTCCCAGTTGGCTGTAGCACTTTTTAGGAGGAAAAAAGATAAAAAGAGAGTTGCTGAACTAGCAAAGTTGATGCCAGTTGAAAACTGTTTTGTCTCACCTTTGAAAGCCGAGAAAAAAACGTGATGGCATTTTAGATTTAAGCTCTAAAGCCTCAAGATACTGGGAGCATTTTGTCCAAGTATTTGTGACAGGCTTTAATGTCTCAGCTATTTTATTTTCTTGAGGTTTTTTTTTTTTTGTTGGTGTTTTTAGCTTTAAATCTTTTTCTTTTTAATGTTGTTGGGTGCTGTCAAGTCGATTTTCAACCCATAGCGACCCGATGTGACAGAGCAGAACTGCCCCATAGGGTTTCCTAGGCTGTAATCTTTACAGAAGCAGATCGCCAGGTCTTTTTCCTGCAGAACCACTGGGTGGGTTCGAACTACCAACCTTTAGGTTAGCATTTAACTGCTGTGCCACCAGGGCTCTTATTAAAAGTCTTTTTAATAGACTTTCTTTTTTAGAGCAGTTTCAACTGTTTTTAAGATAAAATAAAGTTTGTCCTACCTCCATAAGAAAATACTTAAAGAATTACAATCTAAATTGACTGTACAGTAAACAGAATTTAAAAGGGATTAATCAGATAGTTTAAGAGAACCTTACAAACCTCCTCGCCTCAACCAAAGTGCAAGGAGGCAAGGCCATTGTCTTAGTCATTGGTATCCTTGGCCTCTGGTGTCACTAATAAATACTTGTTGAGGGAGAGACTTGGCTGAAGAGTGAATGAAACCATGCTGTAAGACCTGTTTGACATAGGAATGGTTGCTGGAAAAGATAAGAACACGGGCTTTGAGTCTGGGTTCAAGTTCCAGGTGGCTCTGAAAGTCTGTGTATGACCTTGTGCAAGTCACTTAATCAAAACCCTACTTTGGTAAAGTGGGGATAATAATTTTTCACAGGGTTGTTTTAAGAATAAAATGAGATAATAAAATGTATAAGGCGTTTGTTTAGTGAGCCCTTGAACAAGTGGATGTTGCTGCCAGTATTATAAGAGTAATCTAATGTAAGAGGTGGCTTACAGTAGACTTAATCACTCCATTCTTCTGTAGACTTTCACCAGGTTTGATTTTACTCTCTTAATTCTGTTTTGTCTACTTATATTGGAGCCCTGTTGGGTTCAGTGATTAAGAGTCCAGCTGCTAACCAAAAGGTCAGCAGTTTGAATACACCAGCCGCTCCTTGGAAACCCTATGGGGCATTTCTGCTCTGTCCTGTAGGGTCGCTATGAGTCAGAATTGACTTGATGATGGAAACTTTTTTTTTTTTTTTTTTTTTTTCAAGGAAAGCCTTAAATCTGTTAAAAGACCATGCTTCAAATTTGTCAGTGATTGATACTGGCCTTATCCCTAGAAATACCTATCAAGTGAACTTTCTGAAATTCTGATTTTTCTATTTTAATCATAAAAGGCTTTTCCACTGGTGCACTACCATGTTATTTGGTCATATTGAAGTTGCATCTTTTTCTCTGGAATGTTGATGTCTGGCCTTTTGGGTGGTGGTATTTGGGGCCCGTGGCTGGGCGGCGATGTGATCACTTGGGAGCATCCTTCTGTCCCTTAGGATCCTTTCCAGAATCTCCACCCTTTGATGTATGCTTATCCAACAAAAGGGGGTGTGAGTTACCTGGACTTGATGAGTCTTTTCTCCGGGAGCGGAGACAATGACAGTTCTTCAGGCTGATCCCAGCTCATCACATTGCTACAGAAGGGTGGCCTTGGTTGTGTTGTGTTCTTCTAAAAAGGTGCTGGGAGCGTTTTTGTCCCCAACAGAGTCAGCTGGTGAGTGAAATAGGGTGTGACTGGTGTAGATTTAGAAAAATGGGTCATTCAGGAGCCTAGGTTGACGTAAATATGGAAGACAAATGGAAAATAAGGAGGACTGTGCAAAGTATATATTTCATACAATGGTGCATTTTGAAAGAGTGTTAATGTCAGTTTTCTTTTTAATGACTCTATGGGATTTATCCTGTGGTATTTGTTTTTCTCTGTATATAAGGAGCTTACACACCTATGTCTTCCACCTTGTTTACCTCAATTAGTGCCACAGGCCCCTTCCCCTGCCCGTCTCTTTCTCCTTCCACCCTCCTCTACAGATACCAGAGTGGCCCCCCTCCCTAGCAAGGCCTGCTCAGCCAGCTTCCCTCCCTTAAGAGGAGGTCTGTGTATGCCTTCTGTACTCCCTACCTCCTGATTTCTCTTCTCTAACCTTATATTGTCAAATACAGCATATTCACAAAAATTTCTAAAAGTAAATGTACAGTTTAATGAAGAATTGTAAAGATCAGGTAGCTACCACCTGGGTCAATAAATAGGATATTATCAATACCCCCAAAGCCTCCCATGTGTCCCTTACACAATCCTGACTTTACGATAATCTTGCCTGATTCACCTTCAACCCATTCCTGTCTGGCTTCTGTTCCTACTATGTCCTTGAAAATCCTCTGGTCAGGATCATTGGGGGCCTCCATGTTCTCAGATCCTCTGGTTACTCTTTGGTTCTACCCCACTGAACTTCTTAGCACTATCTGCCATAGAACACTCTTTACTTCCTGCTGTACTCTCCACTCTTACCTCCTGTGTTGCTATGCTGTCCTGGGTTTTCTTCTTCTCCTGGGCTGCTCCTTCTCAGTGACCTCTCACAACCTTCTCCCTATCTAAGGACCAGCCAAGTGCTCTGGTGCATTGAGAACAGTCTAGAGTCACCCAGAGGGACCGTTTGCTGAGCCCTGAGCCCTTGACCATGAGCATGACTTATTCTTTCTGGGACTCAGAAAAGCAGAACAATAATAGCAAGTCTTACTGTCTAGATGTTTTGGATCATAAACAGGTTAGGATTTAATGAGTCACTGGAAGTAAAATGACTGGCACAGTAATAACTCCGTAAACGGTAGCTGCCACTATTGTCGATGTTATGATTGTCCCCTTGATACTGGGGCCATTTGAGCATAAGTCAGAGCACAGGTGTGTCCAGAGTGGTCTTAACTTTCTTGTCTCAACCGTGTGTAGAGCAGAGACTAGAGCTGGCCACAGAGCCCAGTGGTTGGAGAGCCAAGCAAGATTGCAGTGACAGCCCTGGGCTGAACATGCTTATCAATGTCTTACTAGCAATCTGTTCAGCAAATATTTATTGAACACCAGCTTTGTGCCAGGTTTGGAAAACAAAGTACAGAGCAAGCTGCTTTCATGTATTATGTGTGCCCAGTATGGCCCAGTGTTGTATGAGGCATGGGAACACACAGACAAGGGGTAGTGAATTCCTCTGAGCAGGAGGCCTGGTGTGGGTGAGTCGGGGAAAGTTCAGAGAAAATGCCAGATTCCATTTGGGCCTTGAAGGCTGATTAGGGCACAGAGTATGGAAGGGTGCGACATGTAGGATGGCTCATTTTCTGGGGCTGGGCTTATGACATCAGTGGGCAAGAGAGAAGACAGGCCAGGGGTGGGGATGGAGAAGCAGTCTCCGACTCAGCTCCAGCAGATTGTGTGGCTGCTTCTTGGGATTTCTGATACAAATTTTCAAGAGCAGCTGGAAATTGAGTTTTTATGTGCAGTCTTCTGTTATTTAAATGTTGGTTTGTTCAAATTTGTTTTGAACTCCGTGCAAGTCAAATAAAGCTGTTGGTCACCAGATATGGCCTACAGGCCTTAGTTAGAGCCTTCTGGGCTAGATCGTGCTGAATGGTTGTTGTGTTTGCTCGGGCTCACACCTCTACTTACATCGCTGTTATTACTGACAGAGATACCAAAAAGCACCTATTTATGTAAGGAGCTGAAGGGATGAATAATTGCTGAGATCCTATTCCTTGACCTTCCACTTCTCTTAGCACAAGGAGGAGCTGCAACTTTGGGTGTTTTCAGGGGCCAGGCAAGTAACATAAAGTGGCTGGGTGTGAGGCAATAGGGAGTGGGGAAGACTGTGGAGGACTGGAAAGCATATATGGCTGGTAGATACATGTCCCATTAAAAGCATTTGAAAAATATAAATATTTGAACAATGTTGCTGCAAGTTTAGGAGATCCCCAGCTCTGGGAGGAGGGGGTGCTATCCAAGTAATACGAGAAATTATTAAGTAGCTTGCCCACAGTCATCTGACTAGTTAGAACCCTTGTCTGGCTGTGACTGTTAATCAATGTGCTACGTTCTTTCTACAAGCAAGGCAGGAATTAAATCTTTGAAACCTTAGACATGGAATCTTATTTGGTATGCAAGGAGAAAATCCTCTAGGTTTTAGCAATATAGACGTTTGACATACCATGCATAAGAAAGTCTGAAGTCTGGCTAGGTATCATGGATTGAATTGTGTCCCTTAAAAATGTGTGTCAATTTGGCTAGACCATAATTCCCAGTATTGTGTGATTGTCCACCATTTTGTCATCTGATGTGATTTTCCTATGTTTTGTAAATCCTACCTCTGATGTTAATGAGGCAGGATTGGAGGAAGTTACGTTAATGAGGCAGGACTCAATCTACAAGATTAGGTCTTGTTTTAAGTCAATCTCTTTTGAGATATAAAAGAGAGAAGCAAGCAGAGAGATATGGGGGACCTCATACCACCAAGAAAACAGCACTGGGAGCAGAGCGCATCCTTTGGACCTGAGGTTCCTCCCCTGAGAAGTTCCTAGACCAGGGGAAGTTGATGTCAAGGTCCTTCCCCCAGAGCCGACAGAGAAAGCCTTCCCCTAGAACTGGCACCCTGAATCTGGACTCTAGCCTCCTAAACTGTGAGAGAATAAATTTCTCTTTGTTAAAGCCATCCACTTGTGGTATCTGTGTTATAGCAGCACTAGATAACTAAGACACTAGGTGTGTTCTCTGTGTATGAAAACAGCATTCTTTCAATGCCACACATGAATGAGGGGGAATCTTTAAGGAGATTTTACCAGTTTCAGTACATTGTGGACTTTGTCCACATCAAGGTGACTCGAATGTATTTTTTAAAAGATGTCAGAAGAACTCCAAACAGTAATTGGTGGGCACGTCCTTGATAGGTTAGCAGTTTTGGTCACTATTTCTGGAAGACACTGAATCATGGTAAAGTGGCTGATGAAAATGTGGAATTTGCTGTGGTGATTTATCAAGCAGTGTCATAAACTGTTAACATGTTTGCCTTCCTTTTTTGTGGCTTCTAGACCAGAACATGTAGCTATCGGGGAGGGTGGGCATTATGCTTTTTATTTTCAGAGTTCTTCAGTTACTTTTAGGGCAAAGGATGGAATGATTCTTTTAAGTGGTTTTATTTTTTTCTTTCTTTTTAGGACTTGGTCAACACTGGACTCAGCACTTTCTTTTTCTTTATCGCATCGATTGTATTGGCTGCTTTAAACCACAAAGCAGCTGCAGAAATTGCCGCTGTGGTAAGCAAACTTAAATGGTTAAAACACAGACTAGTTTGTGCACCTCTGTGGCCTGGTGTCCTGTTCATTCTCCTTTAGCTTTTTCTTGTGAGTGGTGTTGCTTTTGGGCAATGGATGTCCCAGTTCCTTTAGTCATGTGGTTCTCAAAGTGTGGTCCTCTGGAACAGCAGCCTCTGCATCTCCCAGAAATTTGTCAGAAACTCAAGTTCTCAGTTCCCACCGCAGAGCTACTGAATCAGAAGTGTATTTTAACAAGCTCTCGGGTGATTCTCCCCCACGCTCAAGTTTGAGAACCGTGTTCACCTGTACCACATAGAGCCCGGGAGGTGTTAATGAGGTTGCTTTTAAGACTGTCACCTGCGAGTGTGGGGTCTTAATGAAGACGATGGCAGTCTCATGGGTTAGCAGTCAGGTGACATTTTTGTTCTTTAAGGTGGGGTTCCATGGGGAAGGGATGGAACCATACAAGGTAAGACTTTCACTCTCTCTGTTCTGCATTTCTGTGTTTACAAAAAATATGCATAACGTTTGGAATTGGAGAGGGAGATTAAAATGTTTATAGAAATTATTAAACAGCTGTTCTCCCAAGTGTCACTTGGTAGATTCATCAGTCATTGCCAGATAATTAAAACCCTGCTGCTTCTTCAATCTGGAGCTGACCACTTGGAGGTGAGAGGCAGCTGGGTAGCAGTTGGGGGGCCCTGGTGGCTTGATTTGGTGCTCACATGGGAGACCACAAATTTTCTGTCTATGTTGGAGATGAATACATTGTGTTTTCTCATCCAAGACCAGAGGTGTAAGCGTGGTGTGGCAGGGACAGCATCTAACCTCTTCTAACTTCACAAGGGGGAAGGAGAATCAAGATCAGCAGCCCAAGGCTGATTCCTATGAGGTGGAGGTCAGACATGCCTCCACCCTCCAACCTTTTTATCAATTCTGACACCATCTGTCCCTTCCACGGCACTCTCTACTTCTCTGTTGGGTTGGATAATTCATTGCAAAGGCCACACAGAACTCATAGACCATACTTATAATTATGGGGTTTATTAGGGAAGTAACAGGTTACAATTCAGGTTCTGAAACACTTAGGATACAGGTCTTCGATTAGGACAGCCTCTTCCCAGCTGTGGCCACCCACAGGCATACTTCTCTCTGGCCCCTCTGCCTCTTGTCCCCTCAGCCTGGCCTCTGCTCTGCTCAGGCAAGTGTTACAAAGCTCTTTTAGCTCTGCCGATAAGTGCCCAGAGGCACCGCACTCCACCAATAAGCCTCTTGCCCGAAGGCAGTCGGCTTTCTTGCTCCATGGGCTGGGAAGCCCCACCACAGCTGTCTTGCACTGCCATCTCTTGCAGTCTTCCGTGTTACAACTCTCTCTATGGCTCCTGGATCTAGAAGGTTCTCAGCACAGGGATCCTGGGTCCAAAGGGCACGCTCCACTCCTGGCTCTTCTTTCTTGGTGGTGTTGAGATCCTCACTTTCCACCTCTGGGATGGTGCATTTTAAGCCTAGTAGGATGGCAAAACTGACCAATCCCCTTGATAGGGTTCTATATACCTTATTTACATGGTCCCACCCCCACAAGGGTGCCATGTGCCTTATTTACATTATTAGCAAGCTATCCAGTCCCCTTGGTGGGCCACAAGCACCTCATTTGCATAGTCTTACCTGGTGATTTGGTGGAAGTTACAAAAACTATGGCTAGAAGGGCTACATTAAGTAATTCACTGCACTGCAGGCCGCCCTCTGGCTTTTCTAGCCATTGGCCCTTTCCCCCTCCTAATCATTTTACCAGTCTAAAACAATCATTAACAATAGTCCTTCAGTAAGGCAAAGAGTCCAAAGGGCGAGGTTACTCAGGTGCCAGACATTCAGGTCTGCTGCGTGTGTCGTTCTGATCTGGTCAGGTTCTCAAAAGTTCGTCTTGTCTTTACCCTTCCTGGCCTCTGATAAAATCTAACTGAGAGATTATTCCCTTGCTCTGAGCCTCATGAGGTATCAGCATAGCAAAACCTTTAACGGACTTTAGGTTTGGCCACTGTACTCCAGCCCAGCGATGTCTCCCCCTTGAGTTCACTCTTCACACTTACAGCTTCTACAACTGCAGTTTTTACAATCATAATTAACCCTGTTAACAGTCAACACTCACAACTGAATCATATAACCCTATCAACATCTCCCCCACCCTCTCTTCCCCACACCCATCAGGAAAAGAGGAGTCTGTTCAGTGGAGATCCTCCCTTGTCCCTGTCATTTAATGTAGGCACACACACAAAAGCATGTAAGCCAGCCTTTATCTCCCCCCCTCCACCCTGTTTCAGATAGTTAATGTTTAAATTGTCCCTATCAAACCAGTACTCTGAGGAGACAAGCATGTTCCTTGATCTTGAAGAATCTTCTGTTCTGGTTGGAACTTTGAGCATCTCCATCCATAAGCAAAGTCCAGTCCAGCAAGCCATCAAATTGCAGTAACTTACACCAGCTCATGATGTCAAACAAACATCTTTCTCTTCAACCCAGGAGCTAGGGTTCTGGTCAGCTCAACACTACCCTCTGTGGGCTAGATCAATGGGTACCAGCTGTAGGCTCGGGAGTCCACACACACCTCCCTGCACTTCAGACCAGCCAGCCCTTTATCTCTCTCTCATCCCTACCCTCCGTGGGCTAGGTCAACAGGTGCCAATGAAACATGTCCAAACTGAGCCTATCTCTTCATTGCTGCGCCTCCCCCACTTCCACTCATTGAGTGGACCCAGGTGGTCACCATAAGTGAGCATACCAGGATGGGCACTGACACTTCCTGCTTGGATGCCTGGAAAGGCAAACCACTTACTCAAAATTTCAAAAAGCAAAACAGTCTTTTCTTTTTTATCACTTCAGGTCTTTCCCTCAAATGTAAATCTTCTGTTCTCTAAGCAGCTTGGGTGGGTCTGCATGTCTTTTCAAATGCAAATTTCCTGTCTCCCAAGGGTTAGGGTGGAGCTCAGGTATACACAGGGCTACTGCACTGAAATGAACAGCCTGTGTTTCTTTCAGGCAAATTCTAGTTCTTTTAGCATATCCAATTGAGTTAGCTGAAGGCAGAGTTACATGCTGTCTGTAATCTATAATACTGAATATTCATTTCTATTATACATTTAGGTCTGCTTTACAACACTAGGTAGGAAAACATTTAATATCCATAGTACATTCAGATAAACACATAACCTTTTTTAAGAACATTCCAGTCTCATCTTTCCACCCCTTGACGGTCTTCCCATTCATATGCATATAGCTTCGGGCCTCTGGCTGAGTGGAACCAGTAAACCGTGGCCCCCTATCAATCCTCTTGTTTATTCAACCTTGCCTTTGCCCCAGGCCGCTCCAGATGCTTTTCTCCCCTCAGCTGTAGTATAACATCACTTACTTTCCTTTCAGCCATTATAGGTAACTACAACGGAAGTAACCATCTAACAATCAAAAGTTTCACTTCTCACACCCTTTCGTTCTTTCTTTTACAAAGTCCCATGCTTCCATGAGTCTGGAGCCATTGCAACAAATCCTGCTTCTGATGCCAACTGTAAAAATGGGGTGGAAGGGGTGGCATCTGACCTCCTCTAACTTCACAAGGGGAAAGGAGAATCAAGGTCAACAGCTCAAGGCTGATTATTATGAGTCAACTCAAATGGCAAAGGCTTTGATATTTAGAGGTCAGACATGCCTCCACCCTTGAACCTTTTTACCAGTTCTGACACCATCTGTCCTTCCCATGGCACTCTCTGCTTCTCTGCTGGGTTCAATAATTCGTTGCAATGGCCACACGGAACTCATAGACCATGCTCACGATTATTTTGTTTATTAGGTAAGTACCAAAAAAACCCAAACCCACTGTCATTGAGTCTGTTCATGCCCGAGACCCTGTACATAGGTAACGTGCCAGGGTACTAACCAGGCCTGTTTCTTTTAGATATTTGGCTTCTTGGCAACTGCCGTGTATGCAGTGAACACATTCCTGTCTGTGCAGAAATGGAGAGTCAGCCTCCGCCAACAGAGCACCAATGACTACATCCGAGCCCGCACAGAGTCCAGAGATGTGGACAGTCGCCCCGAGATCCAGCGCCTGGACACGTGAGGACCTGCAGAGGCCTCTTCCCGCCTGTCCTCCGGCCCATCCCTTCAGTCAGGTTTTCTTTCCCTCATCACATCAGATTTTCATGTGATTACGCTGAATTTTGTCCTCTTTGGTAGAAGTTCATTTGGGAAAAGGATTTTCCGAGTGGCCCTGTTGGCAGGCATATGGGTGGAGAAAGCCCCCATACCCAGCTGTCCAGACAGCGGTGGGCTGGACAGGCCATGGATTCTCCAGCCTGTGGTGGCCCTGAGAGCAGCTGGCCTCACTGGCTGTCCATGTCCACCTTAGATCTTAATAGTCCCTGAGCACAGGCTTCACATCTTGACCCTGAAACATCCTGTCACATGTGTTTGTAACAAGCCAAGACTTTGGATTAAATGGGGCTGCTAAGAGGAAAACAAATATAATCAAGGACTTGAAGGTACAGGTCAGAGCAGTCCATCAGCAGCGATTCTCGAGCAGCTCCTGGGAGTTTCTGCACTGCCATGGTGTGCTCCAGGGCAGTGTTGAAGCTGGCTGCCAGAACCCTCACCTCCTCGTCTTCCTTACCTGGGCATCGAGACAGCCAGCACAAGTCTGGAAGGCCATGTGTGATCCTGAAGGTCTTGGCAGAGGGATGCATTGATTGAACTCTTTGCTGGATCTGGACCTTACTGGGCTGGGAAGAGCTTGTGTCCCCTTGGGACAGCTCCACAGGACTGCTTGCTCATGGGAGGGTCACCTTTTGTTTCCTACCCTGCTGAGAAATCACTTAATTCTTCCTCAAATGAATCAGTTTCTTGAATCCCAGATTCTTCTCTGGCAGTATGGGGGCTCTCTTGCTTTCCAGTGTCCTACCTACCCCGAATACTTTGAGGCTGAATTGGAGATTTTCTGTCATTTTACCTTTTCAGCTAGAAGCCGTGAAAGAAATACAATCCATTCCACCAACCAAAGCACTTGCCCGTTTTCTGGCTTCATGGACCACAGGTCAGGGTGTGTTTGTGTGTTACAAATAAGCACCCACACACTCCTATTTTAGGGGATATGTGCTAATTTTCAAATGCCTGAGAAGAGTTCTAAAGTGATTCTGAATAGAATTGTCTAGGATTTGAAATACTTGAATTTGCACCATGACACATCCTTTCACTGACGTTTCAGAAGGCACTGATTTAGTTTTTGGTGCCTTGGGGTCATAATTATGAGCATTGATCTTGAAGTTGTCGAGGAAAATTCTAGTTACTTAAAGTTTTTGATTGGATCCTTGATGAAGTGAAGATTATTATTTGTGGTCAATGAGTTCAGCAAGCCCCTATGTTGCTCCAGGTTTTTTGTTCTATTCTTTTCCTGTTGCAGATTAATTGTATCTTTTATAGAAAAATAGTTTTGTCAGGCTTTCACTCTTCAAATTGTTTTTAATGTTTACAAACCTCACTCTAGCTCCAATATTTTGTGTTTAGTCCTCACCAAGGAAAAAACACTGCTGGCTGGAAGATTTTGCAGTAATGTGGAGACTCCCAAGGGTCTTGTTCTAATGACCATTTACAGCTTTAGCAGTGTACTGTGTAATAACTCTGAGAGCGAGTATATGTGTTTGGGTGGGGGAAGGAGCGTGTGTGTAAAATAGTGTCCATCTATGTACATGTGGCATTGCATTCATCAAAAATAGGCAGTGTCTGATTTCCTGGCGTGGGGGTATTAATCAGGTAACACTGCTAGGGTGAGGATTCAACAGGAAATGGTACTGTACTGCCTCTGAAGGGTTAGGGTTAGGGGGTAGCTCCCTGAACTGAACATCCGGTACAGTCTGAGCTCTGCTGTAGTTCTTTTCATGGCAGCGGCCCAGGTCACATCTTTGAGTGCCATGCCTGCCCCTGGAGCCTTGGAATCCAGCCTGGTGGATACTCACCTTGCTCTGCTCTCACAGAGGGCAACCAGGCCTGGTCAGAGCTGGAGTGATAGAGTCCTCTTCCCACGTACCTTGTGAAGTCAGCACAAACCATGCTTCCTAAACTTTGAGTCTATTATATGTAGTGATTTTGGGGAAGATAATGACATCTGGATTTTATCTGTTAATTTTATATATTTCACATTTGTTGGGTATGTACGCATAGTCAAAATTGGACTTATCTTCCTCTAGGAGATAAGATTATTATCCACTTAAAAACAAGGTCACAAAGCTCAGACTTGCATTAAATGGGGCCCACTTGGAAGGACCACCCTGAACTTTATCAGACATCTCCTGCTAGGAATCATGTTATGTGGCCTTCATAAAAGGCCGCTTTTGAAGTGAGATTGAGAAAAAGAATACCATTCAGGCAGGACTGTTTCCAAGTTTTCCCATGTCACTTCAATAAAACCAGTTTATCACCTGGTGAAAAGGAGACAATTGATTGGCTTCCTGAGGATGTGTAGTCTGCTGCAAGAAATGGTTCCGAAGCTCATTGAAACTGTAAATGCTGGTAGGTGATAGAAAGGGATGACATCTTGTGCCACAGAGCGAATTAGGAGTCAGTTTGTATCCTGGCATTAGAATCTTTGAATTATGTTCCTGTAACTATTTAACATCCTTTGTGCAATGTGGCTCCGTCTGGTTTTTGTCGGTGTTTTTCCTTATATTTAATTAGCTCCCACTAGATCCGGAAGTGGCCATGTAGACCTTCTAATGGGTATAATGCACAGTCCTACATCGCATCCCATGTAGATGATGTGCTGAGGGAAAGTTACAAAGGGAATGTGGTTGGCTATTGTGAGTAAAAAGACACCTGTATTTTTCTTATGTTGCCTTCTATGTACAAGCAGAAGACAATCTAGATGTAGGGGGCTTAAAATGACCTCTCTGTGAATTGAAGGAAGCTTAGTTTTGCATTTAAAATTTCCATTATGGGCCAATGTCCGTTTGGTTTGGGGCATTTTAAGGCTGTGGCAACCTTAGTTTTTCTCAGTTTTCTGTTGAGACGATACTGGCTTTCATAGTTCGAGCCAAACTTGACGAGAACTGCCATTGCTGTGTAAATTTGAATTTGTACGGTGCGGTTGAAACCCTCAAGCACTTGGTGGATTCTCTGGTGGTTTTAGATGAATGGAAGCCTGATGTCTTCAGAGAAAGTTTATCTTGGCACTCATCTGGTCTATCGGGAGTTCTTTTCCTTCTATTTTCCTTTCTCCCCACTTCACACTGCTGAAGCTGTCTAGAGAAGTTCCTTTTTCCTTTCATACAGAGTGATTACAATCTTGAAACCCAGAGATACTTGTTGGCCCCACGTAAAGCTGGGAAATGGCAGATGCTATTAACAAATTAAAATCTTGTAAGAGAGGTTTGATTTAAAGTAAAGCAAGTAGAGTTTTACCCTATGCAGTAACAGCCATCCAAAGTAGATTACTTTTGCTTACAAAAAAGCAAGAATGAAGTACCCTGGCCAGGCCGGATAGTGATGTCCTCCTTGGCAGCTTGAGCTAACGTGTGCAGTGTGGGCAAAGCTCAGCCCAGACCATAAGGAAGCCAGCGAGGAGCCTGGCCTGGCTCTGAGCAGCGTGGCCCTGGGAGGCCGCCAGTATCCCCAACCTTGGCACTGGCAGGAAGGCTCAGCCTGCAGGCAAGCACTGCAGGCAGGCCTGAGGTGCCTCTGCATCGGGTGCTTCTGGCCAGTTTTATGACTCAACTGAAACCATTCCTACTCTCTTATAGTTTGCAGTTTTTTATGTCTTTTTTTGAAGTTTTCTTAGTCCTTCATTCTGGGGTTAAACTATAGAGGGTCTGTGAGAGGTGAAGCACTCTTTCGTGCACACGTCTGTGCAGTGAATAAGCCCTGAAGAGCCACTGTGTGTCTGTGTGCCATGTCCTCTGTGTGGCCCCCACTCACTTTTTCTCGTAGACGCACATGTACTATTTGGGAACATATCCCTCACCTATCCCTGTGTTCTTAGAGGTGGACCAAGGTCTAGTCCCATCTGTGCAAGATTTTCTGTGTGTTGGTCTTAGAGCCTGTCCTAACAGATGACTAGAGCATAGAGACAAGTGAGCAGAGAGAGAGTTTAGTGATTCTGGAAGGAAGTGATGATTTAAATGGTTCCAACTGTGCCTTCTGTATTCAAGACAAAGCAACCATGAAATCAGTGTGCCACTGCCCCATCGTCATTTTTTCTCATTTACAGGAACATAGTGGCATTAAACAGGTAGCAAAAGGAGAAAACACTTTCTAGGCCAAGGGCTGTTGATTGATTGTCTCTGGCGGGATAAAAATGCTTCTGGCTCGGGGAACTGCCATTCGCTTGTGAGGTCTCCAGATGCTTGTTTAGCTCCTAGTGAAGTTACAGGATCCAGAGGTTCTGTCTTTCCCGGATCCTTTTTATTTTATCAGCTTGCACTCCCAGGACCAGGTAGGTGATAGCTTGTGGGGCTGCCATGCTGGGCTGGTGAGGTCAGGAAGATGAGAGGAGGGAAGAACAAAGAGACCCTCACTGAGCTTAGCCCAGGCCCTGTCTGCTGTCAGACTGTTTATAACACTAGACATGTTTACAAACCCAGGCTGTCTTGAAAACATGTACTTGGTTAACTATTTTCCTATCCTCTTGTCTTTGGAAAAGTGAGGTCTTGTGGTGCAGAAATCAGCCTGAGAGGAAGAACTCAGTGATGAGGCCAGTATTCCCTTGCACTGTGGGTGGGCTTTTGGCTCCTAGTTTGGGAACTTGTGATCTGGACAGGTGACTCGGAATCTGGTTTGAATGCGATCTTGGACAGTTAGGACACAGCCCCAACCCTTCCTCCCTTCAGCTTTGTAAACTTTCCTAGCTCTTTGTAAAAGCTCTTATTTCTCCTCTTCTCTGCAGATACCGTTAAATTCCTACGAGCTGACTGGTTGAGAAGGTAATTTGAAATATTTGACCTTTTTACATTTCTTTTATGCAGAAACTGTCTCTGAAAGAAAATATCCTCAATATCTGTTAGATCCCATAGATTTTTCTTCTGAAAGTGAGTGTTCTGTTTGACTTTTCTTCACTCCAGTAACTTGTATTTGTATACTCACAGACTTGAAACAGAGAGGTTCCTGATTTGTCTTCTCATTCTTCTGTCTAGAATGTATTCCTTTTCCATTTAGATAACAATTTCTCAACCTTTGGCATTTTTGTTTTTCCTTTCCAGTTTTCCTTAATCCATAAACATAACAGTAAAGAAAAAAATTACCCACAAGCCCGTGAGTTTGAATCAATGGCAGCTTGCCTAGAATCAAGTCTAGATTATGGGTCCTTGAATGGTGTATCTGTTTCACAGGGTTAATGAGCTTTTTGTCTACATTTTTTATGCCAAGACTTTAATTCGGGTGACTTGCTAAATAGTCGCATCAAGGTAGGTGGCCTGGTTTCGTTGGGATGTATAATACACAATGGTCAGACAGTCTTCGGTTAAGGTGTTAATCCTGCCAGACTCAGGGGAGCTATCAGAACTTTAATAGTTCTAATTTATGAGTAAGAACTTGACTAAAACTGCCTTAATCAGTTTTGTTGATGAGTTTTAGGGTGAGGCCCAGAGTTTCCTTTCATAATTGTGCCTCAAAGGAGAGACGGTATGCAGTGACATTCTGATAATGGTTTGTATGAGACTCGGTGATGGTCTGAAAATACCAAATCTGAGTCATTTTTGGATGACGCTGCTGATACCCAGTAGAAAACACCCTCTTTTATCAGAAAGCAACCTGAAAAAACAGTCAGGAAAATGAGGACAGTGCAGGGAGGTGCCCACAAGAGGCAGGACCAGGCCTGGCTGGTGGCTGCTTCCCTCTGCAGGCCCTGCTTTGCCTTCCTGCCTTGGCCAAAATCAATTTTGCAAGTGTTGAGACTCTGATATCCTCTCTGCAGAAGTGAGGGCTTGAAGGGAGAACTGGCTGGCCCTAAGGGCTCTGCGGAGACAGGTTCCTAGGGGAGGGCCAGGGCAGGATACCTGGGACACCTCCCAAGCTGGCCCAGGCCCGCAGAGAGGCCACCTGCTTCCAGCTCTTTCAAACCGTCACCTACTTAAAAGTGCATTTTCCAATCCTGCCCCACAGTGAAATCTATCTGGATAAAATCAGTGCTTTTCATAACTTGATTTTGTTTGACGTGGTTCCCTCTAAGAGAATGGTAGGGATTGAAAATATTTGTATATGTTGAATTTTGTAGAGTTCAGGAACCCATGGTGAAAACAGTAAACTATTTATTACAGGTATGAGTGTATGTGTTTGTCCTCCAAAGTAGGTACTCCTGTCTTTGTGTATTTTAAGACAGATTATAATCACTTCACCTTTGGTGCCTTCCATGTGTCACACAAGCACTCTTGTCAATCATGGGATTGAAAAAAAGATGTACATTTGGTTAAACCAGAAAACACTATTTTTGTAGCACGATTTTAGATTGCGTCCTTTTAATAATGCTTTCAGCAATGCTGGTTTTGAGATTTGGCCATTTTCCCTTTGACTTCATATGTATTTTTAAGAAGAAACAAACAAACGAGCTTTTCCTATTTCCTCTCCCCTGCCTTCTCTCCACCATCTTATTTCTGCTTATTTGAATAGTCTGAGAGTGAGAGTATATTTCTGTGAAATAAGTACTAATCAGTATAAATTGCATTTGGCATTTTTGAACTATGTGCTCATTTTGAAGAACCACCGCTCATCTCGAGCAGTAAATAGGACAGTGGTTCCATATTCAACAAAGAAAAGAATACCATCAGTGCTGTCTTCCCCTTCCTGGGTTTAAAATGCTGAAAAGCCTGTCTGGCTCCTTCCTCAGTTGTTGTGGGCTGGTGACCAGAGGGGTGTTCTCTGGCCTGGTGGCCCCCAGGGGCAGCTCAGGCCTATCCCTCTGGGCCTCCCCTTGCCGAGCCAGACGGGCTCCTGGGAGAACCTCAGCTGGTCCCTGATGCTCATCTTCCTCTCAGTTCAGCAACACTTCAGGCCAGCTCGGTGGCCCTTTCTAGGCTTTTGGCCTGAGCAAAATAGATTCTTTGCTGTGAGCAGCTTGATGATACGAAGGCATGGATAACACTAATGCTGCTTCTCTTGCTTCCCTTCCCCTGCAGGACAGTAGTTATAGCTGGTCAAGAAAAATCTGAGTGAGCTAGCTGAGCCATTGCAAAGTGAAGGTATTGATTTATGGAGAGACATGAAATTCTAGTAGTTTTTTCTTTTTGTCCTTTGGAAGGGTCAGAATATGTAGTTATTTTATAACAAAGAAAGTCAAGTCAGGTGGCTAAGTAGTAACTTTCTAATATAATGATTACTCATTGGTACTTCACCTAGTGGCACTTTTAGGGGGCAATGTTATAACTATTACTAGTTGCTTCATATGTCCTTTATTATTATTATTTTTTTTACATTTTAAAGACACAGCTGTAGGCCTTCTGAAGTGCTGCCCGTCTGATAAATGTTGGCTTATGCTGATGGTTGGTCAGGGGCACCCCTTCTCAGATTCACACAGTGCCCTGTTGTGGGGCGGGCACCCACCTCCAGCTGGCTCTCGGGTTTGACTCTGTCCTTGTGGAGTGGTTTCAGGGGCCCCCGAGGCTTTCCTGTTCATTTGTCCCCAGCAGCAGACAAAGCCTCATGTTGCTCTCAGTTTTCCCCCTTTATTTCCTTTGAAGGACCAATTTTTCATGGTACTTGTCCTGATTGTTTTCATAGTGTTCAAATCTGTATTTTTGTATGTAGAGGGAAATAATTTTCTCAACACTAATCATAATAAATATTGTATTAAATTGTCATGAAGGAGTTCTTGTTTAATCAATGGACATGTAAAAGCATTATCATCTCTTCTCTTTTCTCACCGTCACTCACCTCCCGCCCTGTCCTGAAACAGCACACGCTTGTTATGTGAGGGTGAACGGAGACACAGCTCACGGGACGGGACAAGGACTCAGATGCCTGGTGACAGCCAGCTCTGTGGCTCTGCTGGGCTGGTGAGGTGGAGTAAACACCATCGCGTGCCTCTCTCGGCTTCTGCGCATTCGACATTCCTACATGTTTGCGGCACGTGTTGTATGCAGGTTGGGGCGTCCCTCCGTCCTGCCATGCCTCATCTCTTCCCACCGACCTGAGCCCAGCGCCAACCAAGGTCCTCCCAGGCTGCAGTTCTGAGATCCTTGGTGCAAACAGTTTCCAAACCACGAGAGCCCCAGGTTCTGGCTGCCTGAGAGGCTGCCAGGGACGGTGCCCTGATACCTAAGTGAGATGGCCCTGGCCCTCCTCCAAGGGCTGTGGTGACTTGGGCAAGTCACCTGACCTTTGCTAACAGGACTGCAAGAGGATTCAGTAAGAGAATGCATGTCAGATGCTTAGCCCAGTGTCTGGCCCAGAGTAAGTGCTCCTGGGTTGTTGCTAAAACCTAAAGCTGTAGGGATTCACACCACGTGTTCCCAGTTTCTGCTGAAGCATGAAAGTGGTCCTGACACCATACGGTTATTCCTCCAGGTGGGTAAGATCTTCTCAAATGCACACATACACCCCGCCACCCCCTGCCACAAGTAGGTAGTCAGTCTGGTTTAATCCAGTATGATTTTTTCGGAGTAGGAGATTCACATGCAAGAGAGAAACAAGGCTACAAATGCCCAAAACCCAGGCCCAGAACTCTGGCTCATTCACAAGGCCCCTTGGGTCACAGGAAATGCCATTTGTTAAGAAGCTGCTTTTGTATAAAAAAAATTATATAAAGTTACAAAATCCCACTGAGGACACGTACACAGTATTTAAGTCCTTAGGTGACACAGAAGGCTCATCTCATCTCTCCGAGATGGTCAGTAGACCTGCTCTGGTGTCTAGAAGTACATTGTCCTTAGCATCCTGAGAACTTCTCTCCCAGGAGAAGAGAGGGTGTGGCTGGGCCTGCCCAGCTGCCCAGGACAGTGCCCCTGCTATTACAGCATTTGGGACCCTCTGTCTTTTGGACCTGGTCAGCTAGTCGATGATCTTTTCTTTGAAACAGCCTTAGACCCATAATAGCCATCTCACCCAAAGAAGACATGTCATCTCCAAGGGTGAGGGTGTCAGTTATAGGCGCTGAGACCCACTCTTTCCTAGATGAGAAGCTTCAAGAAGGAAGAGGGAAGACCTGGGATCATTCTCGACAAAGTGCCTAGCTGAGCAGGTGTGTCAAATGCAGACAAGCGTCAGGAGCCACTGGGGCCTGGTGGGTTGGCCCTGCCGTGGATTCTGTCTTCTATGTTCCCATTTGTGAACAGACCAGCATCCCTCCCCGCAGTCCCTACCCTTCTGCTCCACCTTGCAGCATGAAATGCTCACTGTGACAGATGGTTATAAGGCTCCATCTGACACCAGAATCTGAGCATTGGCGAAGATGTGAGGCTTTGCTTCCTTGTGCTTGTCTTTGGCAGAGAGGTTAAACAGCGTAAAGTCCATGGGACAGAAATGGGTTGAGGGCTGGAATAGTCAAGATGCCCTCATATGCAGAGTGGTTAAATAGTGCTAAGTCAAGGGGTATGGTCTTGTATACCAGACTCCAGAACATACACCTTGAGGCTGTGGAGAGGCCCACTGTCAGCATCTCCTGCTGCTGCTCGAGAAGTCACAGACTCCTTCCAACAGTGTTCCCTGGCCACACTGCCAGCCAGCTCAGGCAGGAGGTGCAGGAGTGAAGGCCCCGGGGGGCTTGGCTTGCCCAGCATGGACAGGCCTTCAGTCGGAGTCACAGTCAGAATCCTCTTCTGAAAGGAAAGCAAAGAGAATGCTTGGCCAGAGTTTCCAGGGCAGTGGTGCCTGGGGACGGCCTCTGGGGAAGCAGACAGCAGGCTGCTGGCTGGCATCCTGGGCTTGGGTGTCGCCGGCAGCCAACTGCTTGGCATGAGGGCAGCTACTGGTCTCTGCCAAACCCCTGCCCGGGACCCCAAGTGTGTGTCGGGGGTGAGGGGGGTGGTGCATCTACCCCAGACTGAAGGCCACAAGTCTCCCCAGGTTATTCCCACCTGGGGGGTTCAGGGCTGCACAGCTGCATCTTGATCCCACATCTCCTCCCACTTTGGCAGGACAAGGTAGGCTTACACTTTGGGGACAGCTATTTCCTTGTCCAAAAAATGAGAATACATGGAAAAATCCAAAAGCTTCTTTTTAGTCATTTTATAGTTTCAATTCCCTCCTCATCTTTATTTTTAGATTGTGACCAGAAGCAATTTTATAATGTGAAGGGTCTGTCTGTGAGGTATAACTCGAGGGTTCCTGAAATCCCTGCACTGAAGACTACTCTGGAAAGCCATCAGAACCCCCCACCCCAGAAACGGAAACCACCCAAGTCACTAACCCCCTGCCCTGGCCCCAGGTGCCATTTTCTGATGATCACCCCCTCTCTTGGCATCCCCAGCTCTGAGAACCCTATCAGCCCTCATGCATTGCTGGCTCTCCAGAGCGCAGGGCAGAGGCTGGTGGGGCAGCTGGGAGAAACTCCCCAAACCCTGATTCCTTCCCTTGCCCCGTACCAATGACTAGCCTGATAAGGTTTTGATATATTCAATCCTACTACATAAGCCAGGAATAATTTACCACCAAAAAGACTTATATATATATATGAAAGTCTCCAAATGTTAAGAAACCCCAAAAATTGAAATACGTGTCTGCGTTTGTTCCTTTGGACGGTCGTCTGGAAGCCCTTGTGGCAGACAACTGGTTGTTGTTGTGTGCTGTCAAGTCGGTTCCAACTCACAGTGACTGTATATAACAGGGTAGAACTGCCCCATAGGGCTTCTTAGGCTGTAATTTTTAGGGACGCAGATCACCAGGTCTTTTCTCCCACAGAGCCACTGGGTGGGTTTGAACTGCTGACCTATCGGTTAGTAGCTGAGCATTTAACCGTTTTGCCACGAGGGCTTCTAGACAATTGATAGCAGGTTGTGAAGGCCTAAAGAAAATGTCTGGGAACATTTAACCTAATATTTGCTGTAGTACAGGACAAGGTGAGCTTTACTCATTTTTGGCAGAGGAACAGTTTCTGGGGTTTGCAGTTCCCCGTGGCCCCAGAAGTCCAGCCATCAGGAAACTGCTCCTTCAGAAACTACCTGGCTGGGTCCTGCCTGGGGGCAACAGGTACCCCATGGAAATGGTCCCAACTCCTTGCAGGGCTTTGTGTTGCCCTGGTCTACCTGTCCAGCCATGTGTAACCACTGGCCCTCGCCCAGGGCCACCTCTACCTCTTCCAGAGAAGCATCTCACCTGGACGGGAGCACCTGCTCTTTACAATCAGTTGTTCTCCCTCCACCCGCTCCATTTCTTCTGTGCATGCTCTTGCACCTCCATCAACACCTAGCTCTAGTCACCTCTACCTGCCTCCAGCCAGGCTGGCACCACTATTCAAGCCCATTTTTCTGTTGTAATTTCCACCCCATCTGGGAGGCTTTCCCTGACGTCTGTCTGGGCATACATCCCACAGTGTACACAACCACTATCCGCTTCTGGTTCTAACTCCTGCCTGGACTGTAAGCGACCTGAGGGCATGTGGCCCAGCCTTGCCCATCAGCAGATCCCTAGTGCACAGCCCAGAGCAGTGCCAGCAGGTGTCAGGTTAAACAGATGCTGACACAAGGGCCCAGGAGGGAGGAGGGGACACCAGGCTGGGTGAGTTTGGCACTGAAGACAAAGCCGTACAGTTGCAGGGAGCCCACTGAGGTCTCAGAGCTGTAGGCCAACAGTGGCAGCTGCCTAGACATTCAGAGCCTCCCCAGGGGTGCTGAGGGGAGCAGGGCAGGGAAATGGCCAATAGGCTACAGAGGCCTGAAGCCAGGTCCTCTGTCCCTGGTCAGCTCCTGTTCTCCCTTTCAGCCTTCACCCACTCTGCTTCTCCTCCCGGGGTGGAGGGGACCTCCCCTGGTGGCCTCTAGGCAGGACCCCCTGGGCTGTGGCTGTGGAAAGCCCAAGGGACACCACAACCTCCAAACCCACTGTGGTCTCTCCTGGCCTCCTTCAAGAGCCACTTTCTCCCACAGAGCCACTGGGTGGGTTCAAACTGCTGACCTTCACACCACATGCCCCACCCTGTATAGGGCAGAACACCCTGAGGAATGTGGCATGTTGGTGTGGCTGTGTTGTCACAGGCTAAAAAGCCAGCTACCCAACTTTCAGCTCTGCTTTGGTTTAAATCAGGTAACAGACATGCATGGCAGCCATTCTGAGCTGGCGAAGGGAACCTTGAGGGGCCAGAAGGTTGCACTCATTGGAAGTAAAAAAATGAAACAAGCCTGAGCTTGCCTGTGTTTGGCTGGATTCTGCCGACGGGGATATGGCATGGTTCTCTGGCTTTTGAGCCTATGGGCTGGGAGACTGCAGGGGGAGCTGGTGTGGTGGACAGGTGACTCGGGGACAGGAGTATGGACAGTTGTGACCAGCAGCCCCTAGGCTCATAGAGGAAGGTTTCACTGAGAAGGGTGAGCCCTGCAGAGCGGGGATGGGGTATGCCATTGGCTTGCCCCTCCTCAAAAGATGAGGCCCTGGGGAGCCTGTGTGCCCCGAGGGGACTGGTTTTATGATCAGTGACACATGAAGGGATATGAGAACTGGGCCGTAAAAACACTTCCTGCCCGATGGGGAGAGGAAGCGCTCCTACCCCAAGCGCCACTAGCCCAGTGCCAAGGAAGGGCGGGCTGCAGCAGCAACACCCCAGAGGCCATTAGTTGGGTTCTGGGTTTCAGAGCAGCTACCCACCTACTGCTTTGTCACCTTCTTCCTCTGGCCACTTTGGGAGGGAGCATCTGGTCCCTGCCTGGGTCTCGTCCGTGGAGTCCCCTTGTTTGAGGAATTTGGCTACGTCGTTAAAGATCAAGTAGAAGTCAATTGCAAACACGATGGTGGCAAAGAAGCCAAACACCTGTGGGGTGCAGTGGACAGGGTGGTGACCAGGGTGGTGGGCACAGGTGGGTAGGGCACATCATCAGGAGCTGGAAGCCCCTGGTCCGGGAGGCTGGGAGTGAGGAGGGTGAGGATGAGGAGTTGCCACCCCAGCTACACAGCCCACTTCTTATCTGCTTGGATATATAGCTTGGCTTGGTGGGCACAGACCCCTCTGATTAATGATAAATGGGAAAGTGAACTAACTGTTCATTTGGTATGGCAAGCATATGGCAAGCAGCCTGTCAAAACCTGGGTCCAGTAGAGTGGAATAGTTGAGGTCTGTATTAGAGATGAGGAAACGGGGCCCAAGCAGGGAAAGAATGTGCCCAGGTTCCACACCAAGTGGGTGTACAGAGAGGCACCTGGGTGCAGGGGGTGGTGAGCTTGAGGGAGGCCTTACTGGGTACCCACCTCCCAGAGGTAGGGCAGCTACTCACCCCGGCTGCTTTGGAAGCCCCGTCGGAGTATTTGGTGACGGTCGTGATGGAGATGGCGAAGTAGATGAGGGCCGCCGTGACACAGCGCAGGAAGTCCTGGGGAGAGAGGGGGACACCACGTGGGGAGGGGCTGGCTGGTAGGCAAGGCACGGGTTCAGAAGGGCACCGGGGTGGTGGGAACGGGACTGGAACCCCACTGTTCCCAGAGGAGCGTGGGCATGGCGGCCTGGTCACACACCTGGCCCACAGGCCCAGCATCCATGAGCTCCTACCCTATCCGGGCCCCTCGTGCACTCCCCGCTCCTTCTCCCATGCCTGCTCCTACCTAGGTGCCTCTGGTCTTAGCCCTGTTGTCCTACTGGCTGCTGGAAGCTGAGGCTGCCCTGTCCCTGGTCCAGCAGGGCCCCTGTCCCCAACAGGCTTGCCCCATGGCTGGATGTGGATCTCCCCACTTAGCGGGGAAGCAGGGGTTGGAACCCATCACATACTCCTTTCTGGCTCACCACGGGGGGCACTTGTGGCAGATCCATTTATGTTAGGGCTTCTGCTTGCCTATCCCTAAATGGGCAGGCCAGAGGGTGGAGCCCTTCTCAGGCAGGTGGGAGAATGCTGGATGTGAAGTCAGGAGACCAGGTCCACTTTTGCTGTCCCTTCTCTGTGCCTCATCTCATTCAGCAAAGTCCACTGACCGGACTCTGGGCCCTCTCAGGTGATAAAACGAGGCCAGGGCTGCCAGATGGCTGAGGGCTGGAAAAGCCCCACAAGTCCTCAGTTAACCTACTCAGCCCATGTGGAAATGGCTTGAATTCCTGCGGCTGAGGCTCATTCCTCGCAGGCCCAGTTGGGAGCCCTAGCGCCACCTGGTGGCCAAGGGCAGAGGGGCCGTCTCTCTGGGTTCCCAACTTACTGGAGGCTGCGGAGGTACAGCCACCTGTTCCAGGTCACGTGGATGGTGAGTGGTGGGACCTGGATTGTCTGAAGCCAGGTCTCTCCACCTGGCTCTAACCAACTGCAAACAGCCCCTCCAGCGCATTGAAAAAGGGGTCTGGGCTGAAAGGGAACAAAATGCACTCTGGCTTCCTCCTCTGGCCACTGTGATGGAGCCTCCAGTCCCTGCTCATGGGCTGGGCAGCCAACCCCTTCCTCCCCCGAGGCCCCAGCCCTCACCATCATGGGCCAGCACAAGCCTTGCCACTTGTCATTCAGCTGCATGGCATCAGCAAAGAGGAAGAAGAGGGCCAGCAGAAACTCCAGTAGGGGTGCCGTGAAGAAGGTGGTCTCCAAGGACGCCAGATAGGAGACAAAGGTGATGAACGAGAGACCCTGGGGGGGTGGGAGGGGGAGTGTATAGGACAGAAGTCAGAGAATTTTCAGGGCCCCTTGCCCAGGGCTCAGAGATCCTGCGGGAAGGAATACAGGAGGGAAATGAGGCTCCATCAGGAAAAGCAACCTGCCCCAAGTCCTGCAGTTGGTGAGTGGCAGAGTCAGGATGTACACCCAGTTATGGGGCCCAAGGAGACCTGGTGGCACAAAGGTTAAGCACTTGGCTGCTAACCAAAAGGTTGGTGGTTTGAACCTACCCAGCGGTTCCAAAGACCTGGTGACCTGTTCCCTGTAAAGATTACAGCCTAAGAAACCCTATGGGGCAGTTCTATTCTGTCACATGGGATCGCTGTGGGTTGAAATCGACTCAAATACACTTAATAACAACATGGGACCCAGGCTGCCCCCAGCACTTCTGGACATGGCTCTGAGTCCTAACCTCACTCCAGCCTCCTGCAAGGACCCAATCAGGAAGCCCCAACCTCCCACTCCTCACTCCAGCAGGCGGCAGAAAACACCCAACCCACTGGTGGCCAGCCAGGGGCAAATCAAAGCTAAGCAGGCTCAAGGGAGCCAACTAAATAGGAACCAGTTTCAAAAATAACACCCAACACCTAAGATTTATGCTTTTCATGGATGTAAATTTTACCTTAAAAACAAACAAGCAAAGCTGAACTTTTAATTAATGATAAACATGGTGAAGTGGTTCGAGTTGAAATGTACTGATGTCTGCAATTTACTCTGAAGGCATCAAAAAATAAAATGGATTGATGGAGTGATAAATGGATACATATGTGATAAAGCAAACAGAACAGTGTTAACACAGGACTCCCTGGTGGTGCAAATGACCCTGGCAGCTAACTGAAAGGTTGGTGGTTCAAGTGCACCCAGAGGTACCTCAGAAGAAAGGCCTGGCGATCTACTTCTGAAAAATCAGCCATTGAAAACCCTATGGAACGCAGGTCTACTCTGATAGACATGGGGTCGCCATGAGTCAGGGTTGACCCAATGGCAACTGGTAAACAATTGTACCATCCAATTGGTGGGTATATGGGTGTTAACTGTAAATCTTTCACTTTTGTGTGTTTGACAATTTTCATACGAATAGGACAAAACATCCAGGAGAGAATGGGCTCCACAGACACCTCAGCCCTGCTGCATCATTCATCCAGCCTTTTTGAAAGATTCTTTACCCTTTAGGGTATGCTACTCTATGAGGCAGGAATTCCACATCTGGGAATTTATTCCAAGAAAATAATTTACAAGGGGCAGGAAGAACTACAAGAATCCAAATGTCCCCTGCAGCTTTGTCCACAGCACTGGGAAGGTGGAAGCAACTGATGCTGGAGAGTGTGAAGGCTCCCCAGGTAGTTCTGCAGTTATGTACCGCAGGGCAGGCCAAGAGGGCAGGTTCATCTGTGCCCAGTGCATGCCGAGGGTCTGATCCTTACAACCACACACGCAGCAGGTGCTGCGCACAGCCCTGCTTTATAGATGAGAAGACTGAGGTTCAGAAAAGTGATGTGCTTTGCTCAGAGGGGCACTAGAATTTGAACCCAGGGATGGCCGACGCCACAGCTGGACTTCTTAAGTGAACTGCCCTGGGGGTGCTGGGGGAGGCCTTCACCTTCCTGGTTTCTGTCACTGTGGCTGGGCGTGAGCACAGCCATAGCTGAGGTGCTCGGAGTAGTGCCCAGAGGCTGGGCAAGCAGTGGCAGAGGTGGAAGCCACCTTGGCTCAGGGGCGCTGTAGGGACACCCAGATGCTCCACAGACAAAAGAGCTTTGGGAATGCCAGGGAACCCCCAGGGTACCCCGTCCTCTGCCCTGAACACGGCCATGGGGATATCTGGGTCCTCTTTGGACAAATGGGCAACTAAGGCCCAGAGAGGCGTTGAGAGGTTGCCAGGACCCGCCAAGAAAGCAAGGCTGTGGAACCCTAACCCATCTGCTCCAAAGCTCCCGTACTACTTCCCGTGCCGAGGGCTGTTCTTGTGTCCCTCCCCTTCCTGTCCCCTCACCACCACCAGCCTGATTCTGGAGATCTCCCTCTCTCAATTCCTGTTTCCTCATTCCCTGATTCCTGTTGGCCACTTCCTTCCCCTTCCTGTCCATGTAAGCCTCCCCAACTTGCTCGGGGGTGGGAGCTGGGGAGATGACCAGGAAGGCAGGAGTGACCAGGACAGCTCCCCTTGTGCCGAGTGCCCCCCTCACACTTCCTCCCCCTGCTTCCTCATCCTCCTAGACATAGATCTCTGTCCCCCAGCTGGGCCAAGGGACTGCTCTATGCTCTGGCCAGCATGCCCTCCACCCATGAGGTGGTCCTGGGTGGAGGGGTTCGGATCCGGTCAGTGGACAGTAGATTCTAGGCTTCTCCCCAAAGTGGCCCCCATGAATCTCCTGGGTGAGTTTGAGGTGGCCAGCCAAGAAACCTCTCTGAGAGTTCAGGCTGAGTCCTGGGGCCCTGGCCCTTCACCTGGAAGTTGGACAAGTGCTGGGCTTTAGACTGACCCCAGGGGCAGAAGAGGTTGGTTGTAGGACGGCTTCCTGTCATCTACCCTGGGAGGTACAGGCAAGAGGCTGGGGGCAGAAACCTCCTCCCCCCTCTCCTGGCCTGGCTGTCACTCGGATCCTCAACTGGTCTCCCTGTCAAATCCCCTAGACCTCAGCTCTCTACAAAGTGGGATCAGGACAGGTAATGTCAAGGTGCTGGGGGATTTAAGTAACCAGTGGCCGCCCAGTGCTCGCCCCTCATCCTGCCTCTCATCTTCCTCCTCCATCCCTGCAGGCCCAGCGGCAACCCCTACCCCACAGGCGGGACAGTGCGGGAGTTTTCGTAGTGTAGGGAGGACAAAGGCGGCCAGAAGGCCGGGGTGGGGGAGAGCGGGAAGGAGCTCAGCGGGGCGGGGCGAGGGAGCGGAGGAGGGGGAATGAAGTCACCCGCTGGGGCCCGCTCCCACCCCTCTGCTGCCGCGGGGGTTGCCTGGCGGCCCCGAAGAGAGTGGCTGGGCCTTGCCGAATCCCGGGGATCCCCCTCCCACTCTACACAGCCCCCCGCCCTCAGCTGGCGGGGCTTCTCTCTGGCCTCCCCCCCCTTGAGGCGCCGCAGCCTCTGCCCAGCAGCTCCGGGCCGGTCCTCTTTGCGCCCAGGAAAGTGGACCCCACCCCAGCTCATGGAGAGCTGAGTGCGCTGATTCACCCCGGGGCCCACCCAGGGAGCGGCGGGAGGGCTCGGGGAGCAGAATTTCGCTCGCGGTTGAAGCCAGGAGATGCCCGAGACGTACTCCGGCCCAGAGGCCTGGAGAGTCACGCCGCGTCGACGGCGGGAACCGACCCCCTGCCGGATCCCCCTGTGCTTCCTACGGCCCCCCAACCTGTGACACGCGGGTTCAAGAACTGCGGGAACGTCTAGGTTCGGGCCCCGCCTCGCCAATGCCTCGCCCTCTGAGCGAGCCTCAGTGAACACGTCCTAAACTTGGGGAAGTTCTTCCAACTTTGAGGGTTCTGAAGAGGACTCGGCCGAACTGGGCACTGGGGCGCGGGGTGCTCAGGCCGTGGCGCCGCCCACTTGGACCCCTACCCCACCTCGACCTCAACTTCTGAAAGGAGCGCGGCGCCGCCAAGGGGGTCCGCGGGGGAGGGTCCGAGGTGGCTCCCCGGAGTCTGCGCTCCTTCGGGCAGGGCCTCCGCCGCACTCACCGACTCGGCCAGCAGGAGGCGGCCTTTGCGCGAGCAGAGGAAGGCGCGAGCCGGCAGGAGGGCGCGGAGCCCCGCGGCGGCCGGGCTGGGCTGAGCGCCGCCTGCAGGCTCGGGGTCCGGATCGGCGTCTGGGGGCCACATGGCGGCGGCGGCGGGGGCCAGGGCTCGGCCGCCCTCCCTCTCACCCCGCGTTGGGAGGGAAGCGGAAACCGAGCCTGTGCAGACGGAAAAAAGGCGAGCCTCGCCGCGCGGGGTGCAGCCCCCGGCGCCCCGCCCCCGGCCCGCCCCGGGCCACCTCCCCTCGGACCCCTGTTGCTCCGGCAGGCACTGGGCGGGCCCAGCCACAGGCCCGGGGCCTCCTCAGACCCCGAAGTCTCACCGTACCCCTGACTTGGCAGTTCGAGCCCTTCTTATTACCCCCCTCGAACACCCCGTCCGAGCTCCCACCTTTCTCTCCCTACTCGGTAGGTTTGTCCACACTCACTGTCTCAGGTCTGAGTTCCTGCCCATGCGCGTGTAGGCGACCCAGGAACCGAGGCCTCTAAACAACAAAAACCTCCCCCCGCTCCTCCCGCCACGGTTTTGACCCACCCCTCCCCTCTCTCGCCGGGAGTTTTTCTGCGACTTCCTAGAGCCCCCCTCCCATCCTCTCGGGCCTCAATGATGGCTGCCCCGGGCCTTGGTCCTGGACTCCCACCCCTTCCATGCGTGTAGGGGTGCTCCCAGACGTACACCTCGGAGCCCCAGCCCCCTTACCCCCGCATGTCTCTCTCTCTCTGTTTCTCTCTCTCTCTCTCACACACACACACACACACACACACACACACACACACAGACACATACGTCATTTCCAGGGCATCTGGAGTTCGGTGTGACCAAGACCTAGCCCGTGACATTCCCGTGGCGCCTGGGCCTCTACAAAGGGCACTGCCTTCTGTCCTACTTCCCTCCCACCGTGATCCAGAGACTTGGGTGTCATCCTTACCCTCTCCCACCCTCTACCCTTAATCCGTCGTCACCAAGGCCCGTCCATCGTCACCTCCTAAAACTTTCTCTGATTTCTGTCCTTTTCTCTCCACCCCCACGCCATCGCTAGATCCCAAGGCATTCCTGTCACCCCGGACGGACGTGAGTGTCTTTTAAGGGGTCTCTCGGCTTCCTCCCTTGGCAGTCAGAGGGGTCACTCCCACTCCACCCCCCCAACCTCCACCAAAAAAAAAAAAAAGACACCAACTTTGGGAGCTTCCCATCTGGCTCAGCGTCTTGGTGTAGACCCTAAAAACTTCTTGTTGTAGTCGCCCTCTCCTTTCTGGTCCCTCCCCACCCATCTGCCTTTTTACCGTTTCTTGAACAAACCATGCTCCCTCCTGCCACACGACCTTTGTAAATGTTGACCCTCCCCTACCTGGATGCTCTTCCTCCACCTACTTACATGATTAACTTCTCCTTGTTTTCCAGTCTCCACAGCACCTAACAGTTCTTCAGCGAGCATAGTGCAGTGTTGCTTGCTCAGAGAAGACTTCCGTGATCTCTCCAGGTAGGTAAGAGGCATTCATTCATTCACTCACTTATTCATTTGTTCAACAGCAGGGCTAGAAGCCCTGGATACAGCAGTGAACAGTCCCGGGGAGCCCCAGCTTTTTGGAGTGGGGCCGGGGACATACACTAAAGAGAGTCCTGAATGAAGTGATTCCTGGTAACAGAGGCCTGGCTGTCTCAGAGGATGTGTTTATATATATATATAAACCCAAACCAAACCTGTCGCCGTCCAGTGGATTCTGACTCATAGCAACCCTACAGGACAGAGTAGAACTGCCCCACAGGTTTTCCAAAGACTGGCTGGTGAATTTGAACTGCCCGCCTTTTGGTTAGCAGCCGTAGCTCTTAACGACTATGCCACCAGGGTTTCCTATATATATACATACACACACATATATATAGCAAAACATTTGCTAGTTCAGTATTTTTTACATGTACAATTCAGCCTGTGTAGAAGAGGTCAGAGAAGGGGTGGGGCCAGATTGTGGCGGGTCAGCCCTGGTGGTCTATTTTACTCAAAATGCTCTGAGAGGAGGCCGGGCAAGCTGTTTTAACAGTGGAGGCCCCAGTTCTGAGATTTGTGTTATTAAAGACATGACTCTGACTCAACTTGATAAGAAGAAGAAACCAACCCAGTTTTAAAAATGCACCAAAGATTTGAATGGGCAATTCACCAAAGAAGATATGTGAATGTCCAATAAGCATGTGAAAAGATTCTCAGCATCATTAGACATCGAGGAATGGCAACTAAAACCATAATGAGATTATTTATTATTTATTTTATGGCAACCTTATGTATAACCAAACAGAACATTGTCCTGTCCTGCGCCATCGTCACAGTTGTTGGTATAATGAGCGCGATTCTACTAGCAGTTATTAAAATGGCTACAAAGCACTACCAAGTGTTGGTGAGGATGTAGAGCAAATGGAACTCTCATACACTGCTGATAGAGGGGTAAAATGTTAAACAGTTTGACAGTTTCTTAAAAAGTTAAATATAGGCCTGTTGTATGAACTGGCCATTTTACTACTAGGTATTTACCCAAGAGAAATGCAAGCCCATGTTTATACAGAGGCTGGTACGCTCATGTTCATAGCAGCTTTATTTTAATAGCCCTGAACTGGAAACCACCAAGTGCCCCTTAACAGGTGGAGGGATAAACAAACTGTGGTAGGTCCATACAACAGGATACCACTCAGCTGGAAATGTTGTCTATTTTAATTGGGGTAGTGGTAACGTAGGGATATATAATTGTCAAAATGCATCAAACTTTACACTTAAAATGGGTGCATTTTATTACTTGTAAATTATACCTCAATTTTTTTAAAAAAGGAGGAGAAAAACAAAATGGTGGCTGGACTATGAGGGCTGACAGGGGCCGGGGAAGTGGCAAGAAAGTAGGATGGGTTTCCTTTGTTGAGGTGACTGGACACCCATGACCACGGTCCATCTTCAGACAAGGTTTTGAGGCCCCCAGAGGCCTGTCATTGTAGCCCAGCCCCAGGTCAGTACCTGACACACAGGGTGGCATCAGGAAATGTCTGCTGTGGAATGCAGGAAGGGCAGCTCAGAGAGGCCCATGCCTGCTAAGGATATATGGGGTAGGCCCAGATCACCTGTCCCTCAAGACACACCCATTCAGGTCAGACAGTTCTGGGCTGAGGGAAGAGGCCCTGGCCAGTGGTCCTGGGGCTGGCACTGGTTCACCTAGCAGGGGCTTCCTGTCCCTGATAGCAGAGCTTGTGGGAGCCTGGAAGATACAGTCTGTGGGGCCTGACCTTCTCAGCTCTGGCTCCAGTGTGGAGGGGAACTCAGAACCCAGGGGTCTGGGTGGGGAAAGATGAGGTCTGGATGACAGGGTGGTGGGTCTGCCCAGGACTTGAGAAGGATTTCCAAGGTGAGATTTCAGAGCTGGATGTGGAGAGTGAGGGTGAGGGCTAGATAGGGCTTCGCCCAGGTCTGGGCAGGTACCTGGAGAAGACAGGGCCCCGGGGGTGGGGTCAGCCTAGGGTGAGGACCCCTGAGAAAGGATCAGGTTTAGGGGTGAGTTTCATGAATTCATTGTTGAGGGTGGCCCTGGGAGAGGCCTTTGCCACCCTCCTCTCTCAGGCCTGGGCCATATATCCTCCAGGTGCAGGGCCCCAAGTTAAGTCTCAGGAAGTCAGGGTGTAGCTTGCCCAGCTGGCCTGGCCGAGGCAGGGTGCCGGAGGGAAGACTCAGCCCTGCTCCTGCTTCCCCCAGAGCTGTGGGCCTGGCAGAGATAGCAGAAATCCATGTCAGTCCTGCAGGGCAGGTTCATGTCAGGCCTGGGGAAGGGGACCGCTGTCACTGAGCACATAAGTGGCTGGCCTGGCCTGGGCCCACTTGTCCTTCTTCTCCCTGCACCTCCTTCGCAGGCCTGTGAGGCAGGAGCTGCCATTGTCCCTTTTGTACAATGAGACAGAGGTTGGGAGACTGAGTTGCCTGCTGGGGTGTATGTGTTGTCCGTGTGTATCAGGATTTGAACCTGGGTCCCTGTGACTCTGTTCCCATGCAGGAGGCCTCCACAGATCCAGGGATTTCCCTTCTTCTTCATGGTGGGGGAAGGCTCAGTCAGTGTCTTCAGCTGGGATTTGGGAGGCGCAGGTCATTTTGGGGCAGTTGTCCTAGGCCCCAGCCTTCCCATATGAGTAATGGATGTGCAGGCTTTGAGGCAGGAAGTTGATGCGGGGACATTGCTGGGGTGAAAATGATGGGCTCTTTGAGGGCAGGGTGGAGAACCCCAGAAAGCCAAGATGGGCTCTAAAGAGGCAAGCGGCATCTGTGCTGTTGCCGCATGGGGTAGGGGAAGTGGGATGGATGGATGGACAGAATTCATTTAATGCGCCCCAGGGACCAAGGGACATTTTGGTCCTACCAGCCGTTTGCTTTTGCTCACAACACTGCAGGAATGTCCCAGGACTGCCATCATTTCACTTCTATGCAGCCTATCTCAGACGGGGAGCTGGGGGCCAGGGGTGAGCATTTGGTATTTTGATGACTATCACATTTTCCTCCGTTAAGGTCAACCCAGCTGACACCTGCCCCAGCAGGTGGAGTACCTGGTTCCCAGACAGGGCATCTAACAGCTGGACAATTGTATCTCAGAGTTGTGTGCTGATGTGTCAATTCTTACTCATAGCGACCCTACAGGGCAGGATAGAACTGCCCCATAGGGTTTCCTAGGCTGAAATCTTTACAGGAACAGATTGCCAGATCTTTTCTCCTGCAGAGCCGCTCATGGGTTTGAACCACTGACCTTTTGGTTAGTAGCTGAGCACTTTAAGCATTGCACCACTGGGGCTTCTTGTATCCCAGAGTAGTTTTTTAAAAAATTGAGATTTGAGACTTAAAAAAGAGTTGCAAAGATGATGCAGAGTTCCCATGTGCCCTTCACTTAGCTTCCCCTAATGTTAACGTATTCCGTAACCATGGTACATTTGTCAAAGCTAAGAAATTAACAGTGGTACAGTACTATGAACTAAACTACAGATTTTATTGGGATTTCAGCCATTGTTTCACCATGTCCTTTTTCTGTCCCAGAATCCAATCCAGGATCCCACAGTGCATTTAGTTGTTGTCTTAGTTACCTAGTGCT